ATTTGGATCCTTTCCTTCAATCTTCTCTCTCCAGCTTCTCTCCAGCAACATTAATAATAATTATTAGATATATCTAATGATTCAAATTTAATCTTATAGTTAATGTAATTTTTTAAATAATTTTTATAAGATTAAATTTGAATCATTAGATATATCTAATGATTCAAATTTAATCTTATAGTTAATGTAATTTTTTAAATAATTTTTATAAGATTAAATTTGAGTCATTAGATATATCCAATGATTATTAATGTTGCTGGAGAGAGATTGGAGGTAGAAGATTGAGGGAGAGGATCCAAATTCGTAACTGAATATCTAACTTGAACTCAAAGTCGTTAATTATAAAATTAGATTAAAAATATAAAATTAATTATATTAATAATTTATAAAAATTAAGCCCTCTCAAAAAAAAATATTTCACTCAATTACTCCATAATTTAAGAAGACTTAGAATAGAGAGAGAATCCTAATCACGTGTGTGCGAAGAACTTGAAGTTGATTGAAGGGTTCCATGAATGAATGAGGCAACGCCAGTCAGCCACGACATCTAGATAGGACTAATATTTCAGTGTCTATGCATCCATACAATAAAAAATTCAATTTATTCAACATCCACCACATTCAATTTATTCATGATTAAGTTAAAGAGACACCAAGCATTATCTCTATATTCTAAATAAAATAAAATAATAAGAGATAATGAAATGGATAATTAATTAAAAATTAAAATATATTTATAATTGTATTTATTTTATCTTTTAATTTTTATAGTTTAAAACAAATATTTTTAGTCTTTATAATATAAAATAGATCTTTTTTATTTTTATACTTGTAACTTTTTAATGTTTTTAGTTTTTGTTGTTATTTTTTTTTGTAAAGTTATCTCTTTTGTCCTAATATGACAGATATAGTAATTTAACTTTGTATGTTTAATGTTAAATTTATTTCATTAGAATTATTTTAAATTAGATTTTTAAACCTCTTTTGTACTCTCGCTTGTAATGTTTATTGTTAAGATACCATTTATTTTACTCTTACAAAATTGAATACATCTACCATATTAACACAAAAGAGATGACATTATAAAAAAATGAGTTAATCATCCTTATACTGTCAGTGTAAAATTTTTTACACTGGCAACCAATCATATCTTTTAAAGTTGCTTATTTTATTATTATTTCATTAAATAAGCAACTGACATGTCACTATTAAAAGATATGATTGATTGCCAGTGTAAAAAAATTTTACACTAACGGTGTATAGGTGATTAACTCATAAAAAATTAATGATAATGACTAAAAGAATTACAAAATTGTAAGTGTAGAAACTAAAAACATCTTACTTTAAATTAAAAAGACTAAAAATGATTGAAAAATATAAATATAGAGAATAAAAATATCTATTTTAAACCATATAGACTAAAAGGTTAAATAAATAAAAATATATAAACTAAAAAATATTTTAATCTTAATTTAAAATGAAAAAATGTTAAGTTTTTGAAATATGAAATTTACAAGAAAATAGAGATAATGACAATGAATGAGTATTTTTTTATAGTAATTATAAGAATAAAACGATAAAAAAAAATATGTACATAGAAAATGGATATGTCTTTTGTTAGGTGTCAAGAGAAATTGAGGTAGTCTTTATATTTAAAAGTAAAAATTATAATAAGTATTATCTCTTTTTTTTAATAGTCGTTATACCACTTTTAATTTTGTTTTGTAACAAATGCATAATAAATGTATAAATTAATTAAAATTTATATGAGATATAAAAATATAATTATCAAAAGTCAATGACAAATCTACGTGGAGGTAAATGTCCTCACTAAGATTTTTTATCTTAACTCTTTTATACATTATAACAAAATATTCATTCACCATGTTAAAAATTAAGTGTCCTCATGTTTTTTTTTTTTTTTTGTGTTTTTATACTGTAAAAAGAAATCAAAATTAATATACTACTTTTTGAAGTATATTTTTTAAATACATTTAAGTGTAACTTGCTAACTTATTCTCTTTTAAAAAAAATAAGTCTCAATTAAGAAGTGGTGGTTTGCTCAAGTGCATATTATACTCTTTTAAAAATGATAATTTTAATATGAAAAGTGAATGATTAAATGATTGCATAATTATTCATATAAAGAAAAATAATTTTAAAAATATTGAAAATAAAAAAATTATCCAATATTTTTAAAATATAAATCTCATAGAAAATAATTGTAATGTATATTTATATTTAAAAATATTAAATTATATATTTATCATTAAAAATATTTAATTATTTATGTATAAGTATTACTCTCACTACCTAAACTTTATGGACTCCTATCAATTAAAAGTAATTACTATTATCTAGACGATAAATAATTTAAAAATAATATATAAATAGATATAAAAATAATATTAAAAGCACTTTAAAATATGAATAAGGAATGTAGTGATAATTTTTTTATTAACTTTTAAAAAGTGTTATGAATGTATTTTATTTAAATTCTAAAAAAAATTGTATTTATTATAAAGAAAATGTATTTTAAAAGAAATTTTGTAGCAGATTGGAGAGTTTGGAGTATATAGATTAGTAATAATAGAGATGTATGATTTGGTCAGGTGCCCTTTGGAGGTTCTCATCAAAAGCCATTTTTTAATAATTTGATTTACCCGTCGGAGGGAGCCACGTGGCACGTAACAAGTGGCTCTAATAGTTATCCTTATCTATCATACCAATGCCTTTATTTTCGAGAATTATTATTTTTAATCATAATAAATTAATTCTTAAAAATAAAGAGTATCGGTTAATTTTATAAAAATAATTTTAATTAATGGTCTCAATTTTAAAATTTCAGAATAAAAGCACATTAAAATTTAATATAAAATATTCATCTTTAAAATATAAATTATTTATTATAAATATAAAATATAACTTATATGCTCTAAAGTACCTATTCTTTTATAAAGTTTAATTATTTAAAACAATTATTTATTATAAATTATAATTATATAAAATAAATTTTAATTATATAAATTGCACACTTTAAAATAAAATAGCTAATATATATATATATATATATATATATTCTAAAATTACTGAAAAAATGGCCTTTTGAAAGTGGTTTAAAACATGATTTTGAACATCTAATTTATTTAATTAGTTTAAAATTATTTTTATCAAATTAAATATATTTTATAAAATAGTCTATTTAAATAGCATATAATTCTTAATAATATTTTTTTTTTCATTGAAATACTACTTCATTGTTATTTAAAATGTTATAAATTTCTTATTTTTTTCTATAATATTATTTTTAAGTCATTTACATCTATCATATGGTTCAATAACTAGTTTTATTAACATTTTTAATTTAATCAGTTATTTAATAATTTTAAAATTAAATTAGTATTCAAACAATACGTGAACGCATAACTTTTAATCACTATGTCAATTATTAAGATTTTTTTATATATATATAAATGAGTTATTTTCGTGGAGCAGTGTTTGAGTTTGTTTGATTCAGCACCTTCCCATTGATAAGAACCGAGGGGCTTGAATTGAATAATTCATGTGAAATGGGAAAATGAGTTCAAATCTCATTTATCACTTTTAATTGAAGTAATTTTAGTCTTTAATGGTAACCCAAAAAATTTAGTCTTTGAGGCTTGAATTATTGGTGTATCAACTTTTATCATGATTAATTACTATTGGGTAGTTTGTTTTAGTTAATTGTATTTTAAATTAGTTTATTTTCTTAATTTGTTTGAAAATGTCATTCTCATTGGAATTAAGATATTCATTAAATATTTCTTATACTTCTTCACATAATTACGATAACTTACGGATAAGTGCAATACTTAATTTCTTTTTCTTCTATATATATATATAAAGAAAAAAGAAAGAAGAAGAATTTTTTAATTTGATTAGAAATATAATTATTTTCTATCAGATTAACCGTTATAGAGATAGAACGGTTTTTTCAATTGTTATTTTATGTTTAAAATGATAATCAAATTCCTATAATAATTTAATCTTTTAATGTAAAAATAAGTAATTAAAAATATTATACAATAATTAAAATTAAAAATAATAGTTTAAATTTTAGAAGATAAAAAAAAAATTAAAACTTGTTCATTTGTCAAAACTAAAAATATTTTTAAATTTGCAATTAATTAGTATAGTATATCAAGCTAATAAACATGTTAATTAAGTTGAATTCAATTACATACATTGTCGAGAATTATATGAATACATTTGAATTCAACAATAGCAAGCTTTTTTTTTCTTTCTTAAATCTAAATATAAGAGATAAGAATACAATTTATACCATATCTTAATGGAGACAAATATATTTTTCTCCAACATGCTTCCCTGCTTACGTTAAATATCTACCCATATAAATAATCTAAACTTTTAATACAGTTACACTTTTTGCCTTTTCAGGGGCATAAAGAGATTTTATCATTAGTTGCTCATTATAAATTTATGTTGATGATGAATTCAATGTGTATTAATTAATATATTATGAAACAAAAAGTACAAAATCACATACTCTTTTTGTAAGATACATCTTTAAAAATCTAGATCCTACCAACCCCAAGAAATAAAGCTAAAGAAGTCTCAAACAATACAATAGGTAGTATCTTTAATTCGTTTTTGTTTGACAGTTTGGAATGGAATCCTTGGAAAACGAACAAAAGCTTACAGATAAAATTATGAAAATTAAAATCACTGTAGCCATCAAATTCACATATCATATGGCAACTTGGAAGCACCCATTTGACACAACTAGTTTATTTTTCAATAACACATTAATGATCATAATAAAGATTTAAACAAAGGTGTTATGTACCATCCATATCCATTCATCACAAAGATCAATTGCATTTCATTATCTATGGTCCCAACCATCATCATAAGGCAAGTATTCTGGATTATAAAAGGCAACAGCTAGTTTAACAAATACATAGAGTTGTTTAGGATAAGTTTCTTTTATACCTTTTTTTAAGCCAAAAGATTCAATTTAGGATAGGAGCTATATATTATCACTTGAAAAGACAAGTTTCTTTTGGTCCCTAAATTTCATCTCCAAGTATTTTATACCATAATATTTCTATTCACCATGTGACTTTTCAACGTGAATGATCTCATAAAGGGATTGAAAATTGAACCATGTAGATAAAACAAGTGTCAAACTGCAGAAATAATTAGAAGGGCAAAAGATCAAAGAACAAGTAGACTTCAAAGGTAACAAGTCTCCATTATTTTATGGGTGAGGTGTCACAACTTGTTCTAATCCAAAACTAACACAAACTTCACCAACTTAAGAACCTTATAAGTTCTCTACCTCAACCACGTCTGTGTTTGTTCCAATGGGAGAGAATTCTAGGGAGTTTGGAGAAAACACAAAAATCAACCACAAGATGGAAGAAGTTGAAAGAGAAGAAGAAATAGACCCAGAAAGCAATTCACTGAATGAGCCACTGCTCAAGAGGAACCGCACACTGTCTTCCAACCCTCTTGCTTTGGTTGGAGAAAAAGTTTCCTACATAGAAAGCTTGGATTATGAGTAAGAAGGCACTATCCAAATCAATGCAATTTGTGTTTTTTCCCTTTCACAAATATTCTCCGAAGATATTGAGTCTGTTTGGATATAAGTTTAAAAGAACTTTTGAAAGTTCTGATTACAAACTTGTATCTAAATAGGTTCATTGAATACAATTTGTTTCTTTCCACAAAAAGCTTCTTTTACTTAATCCTTTCTCTCTTAATTAGAAGAGACTTTGGTATGCAGGATCAATGAGAATGATCTATTCAAGCATGACTGGAGGAGCAGATCAAGAGTTCAAGTGTTGCAGTACATATTCTTGAAATGGTTACTAGCATTTCTTGTTGGTCTTCTCACTGGTGTTATTGCCACTCTCATAAATCTTGCTATTGAGAATATTGCGGGGTATAAGCTTCTGGCAGTTCTTAAATACATCCACAAAGAAAGGTCAGAACAACCAAACTATGAGTTTTCTTTTGTTCTTTTAAACAATTCAGCTTCAATAATGTCATGAGTTGGTGTGTGACTGCATCAATGTGCATCGGACAGGTACTTGACAGGTTTCCTATATTTCACGGGCATTAATTTCGTTTTGACATTTGTTGCTGCTATTCTCTGTGTGTGTTTTGCACCCACAGCAGCAGGACCTGGAATTCCTGAGATCAAAGCTTATCTTAATGGTGTTGATACTCCCAACATGTATGGAGCTACAACATTGATTGTTAAGGTAAGATTGACTGTAATCAACATTGCCTAAGTTCCTTCAATTCTGATTAAACTTGCAACAAGTGTTTTATAAACATCAAAAGGTTATCCTCTTAAATTTCCAAAATGTATTAGTGACAGATCTAGAAAATTATTTTAGTGGGGTAAAAAGTAGTCTATGATATTTATATATATAAAAATATAATAATTCTTTTATAAAATGCATATTTTCATGACAAAAGAATCTAAAGTATAAAAAAAATTTATAAATTAAGATTATTTAATGACTAGAGTGATAATTGTTCATTTTTCTTTCTTTAATTTGATATTATAATAAGGTTTGTACTTGTAATCTTTTATAACTTGTTTAAAATTAAAGAAGTAGAACTATTAAAGTCTATTTATTGATCAAGAGTTGAAATAGTATACATTAGATTTCAAGTTTAAATCTTTTTATTGTCATCAATATAATTTCTATAGATAAAAAAGTTGAAATGTTAAAAATTAAAAGATTAAAAATAATAAAATTAATATTTTTATTTTACTTTTCCTAACTTTTTGTACTCATTTAAAAAAAAACTTATTTTATGAGGGCAATATCTATCTTTTTGGGTAAAATATTCTTCTTTTTAAGTACATATAATTAAAATGTAAAACTTTGTGGGGCAATTGATCTCAACATGATTCCATCTCTGAATGTATTTATGGAAACATGTATAAAAAATTAAACAATTATATATGATATTAACTTTTTTATGTTCAAATAATAAATCTATTATTATCATTAATTGACACAAATAATTTAACCCAAATTTAAGTTATATATGACACGAGTTCAACACCTTTTGTAATTATTAAAATCCTATTATAATAAGCATATCAACTTAAAGAAATCTCTTGATATTAAAAGTGAAATTTCTCTTGTGGACCTCTACTAATCCTACTGACATAACATAGTAATTACTAACATTTTCTCAAATAATAATAAATAAAAAAAACTAGCACCAAAACTTCAATGAAAAAAATCTCAAGACATTTTACTTGGTATAGAAACCAAACGAGAGGCTGAAAAAATAAAGAAATAAATGGTTGGTATAATTATTAATATGATGCTGCTAAAGCTATAGAGACAAATGAAGAATTTCAAATAGGTGTATAGACCGGTTAGGTGTCCATAAATCCACACTGAATCTTGCCCCTAAGAAGAGAACAGAAAAGGCCAAAATTTGTATGCGAAGGGATAAATCGTGATACCCATGTTACTCGCTTCAATCATTGAAGACTAGCAATTTCTATAATGAGTAAGGTCATCTCCAACCACCATCTCTCTCTCTTTATTTTTTTTTTTTAATACTTTTTATACTACATGTATTTAGTAAACTTTAAAAACTTTACAAAATATACCCCACAAATAATTCCATATCTTTACCATAAAAAGGCCCAACATAATTTTTTATCGTATAAAGCTTTTTTCCTGTAAATGATATGAGTACCTGTGCATAAATAAGCACCAACAGGAGCTTATTTAGTTTGTCAGTGTTGCTTAATAAGAACGGTGCTTTAACAATAGTGAGGCGTCAATAGTATCATCTAACACAAAATACATGAACACAAGTTATGCTCCACTCCTAAATAGTACGTTAGGACACCACCGGTTACAAATAACTAATCAAGTTCACGAGTCTTATTATTGGAAAAAATAACGACCACGGTGCCTACAATGCAAATGGTGTTCGCATTGAAAATCAACATTGCTTTACATAAATTACAAATTCATCTTCACATCATATCTCTGATCAATGTTATTTCCGACTCCTGTTCATATCTTATCCCCCACTTTGGTTCTTGTAGATAATTGGAAGCATTGGAGCTGTCTCTGCAGGCCTAGATTTGGGAAAAGAAGGACCATTGGTACATATAGGAAGCTGCATTGCTTCCTTACTAGGCCAGGGAGGCCCCGACAATTACAGGATCAAATGGCGCTGGCTTCGATATTTTAACAATGATCGTGACCGTCGAGATCTTATAACCTGCGGTGCATCTTCAGGAGTTTGTGCAGCTTTCCGGGCTCCAGTGGGTGGAGTTCTCTTTGCTCTTGAAGAGGTAGCAACCTGGTGGAGAAGTGCTCTCCTATGGAGAACTTTTTTTAGCACAGCTGTGGTGGTGATGGTTCTCAGGATATTCATTGAAATCTGCCATTCTGGAAAATGTGGCCTTTTTGGTGAAGGAGGATTGATCATGTTTGACGTAAGCAATGTCACAGTGAGGTACCATGTTATGGATATTGTCCTTGTTGTAGTCATTGGAATCATAGGCGGGGTATTAGGAAGCCTTTACAACCACGTGCTACACAAGATCCTCAGACGCTACAATCTCATTAATCAGTAAGCAATGATATCCATCCCTAGTCTTAAAACATATTGCATATACTGAACTTCTAAGGAGACATAATCACTGTGACAGGAAAAAAAAAATCACGATTTAATGTTTTACACTGACCACACATGCAATCCAATGAAAATATAATTGTGCCAGATGCTCTCAGTGACATCATAAACATATGTGCTCAGCTGCTCAGGCCAAAAATAGAAAGAAAACAGAAAAATTAATCATGTGATCTAATGGACTAAACTTGCAGCATGATCCCTAACTTTGGGAATCTACAATGCACCCTTTAAGTTAGGGTGCATCCATGCACATTTACCATTCGATATAAACATAGTAAATAACATTTATTTTATTCAAATCCAACGGTAACAGATGCAATGTGCATAATGTGCATGAATGCATCCTAACTTGATGGCTGCATGTTAGAATTACTTCACAAACTGTATCCTGGATTCATACTCTAATAAAACAATGACAGCTGCCAACATTCCCAAAATTGATCACATGCGAATTACTCAATTACTAAAGGAGTCTCTACCTTTAATTATTGCAGGAAAGGAAGACTACATAAACTCCTTCTCAGTCTTGCAGTTGCGCTCTTCACGTCAATGTGCCAATATGGTCTCCCATTCTTAGTAAAATGCACCCCATGTGATCCATCGCTTCTAGGGTCAGTCTGCCCTACCAATGGACGATCTGGAAATTTCAAACAGTTCAACTGCCCACCGGGCTCCTACAATGATCTTGCTACTCTGCTGCTTACCACTAATGATGATGCTGTTCGAAACATATTCTCAACCAACACCCCTCAAGAATATCAACCCATGTCTCTCCTAATTTTCTTTGTACTCTATTGCATTTTAGGACTAATTACTTTTGGAATTGCAGTGCCATCTGGGCTCTTCCTCCCTATCATTCTTATGGGCTCAGGTTATGGCCGCCTTCTCGGCATCTACATGGGACCTCATACAAACATTGACCAAGGGCTGTTTGCAGTACTTGGTGCAGCCTCCCTCATGGCTGGCTCCATGAGGATGACTGTATCCCTTTGCGTGATCTTTCTTGAGCTCACCAACAATCTTCTCCTACTACCAATAACAATGATTGTTCTCCTAATAGCCAAAACTGTGGGAGACAGTTTCAACCCAAGCATCTATGAGATTATACTGCACTTGAAAGGCCTTCCTTTCATGGATGCAAATCCTGAGCCGTGGATGAGAAATCTCACTGTGGGTGAGCTTGTTGATGTAAAGCCATCAGTGGTTACCCTACACGGAGTAGAAAAGGTAGCCAAAATTGTAGATGTCTTGAAAAACACTACGCATAATGGTTTCCCTGTTATGGATGATGGGGTAGTACCACCAGTAGTAGGACAGGCCAATGGAGCAACAGAACTGCATGGACTGATTCTAAGAGCACATCTCATCCAGGCACTAAAGAAGAAGTGGTTCTTTAAAGAAAGAAGGAAGACAGAGGACTCAGAAGTGAGAGAGAGATTTACCTGGGTAGAGCTGGCTGAGAGAGAAGGAAGCATTGAAGGGGTGGCTGTGACCAGCGAGGAAATGGAGATGTTTGTTGATCTACATCCTCTTACCAATACAACTCCCTTTACAGTGCTAGAGAGCATGTCAGTAGCAAAAGCAATGATCCTCTTCAGACAAGTTGGACTTCGCCATCTGCTTGTAGTACCCAAGTATCAAGCATCTGGGGTAAGTTTATTAAGCACATCAATAATATTAACACCATTCAAACATGAATTATGATATGACCACTTTTTTCTGGTAATATTTCAGGAGAAAAATAAAATCCATAGCTGATGCTTAATTTTTAAAAATACCATATATGACTAACCAAATGATGTCATCCTCTCACAGGTATCCCCGGTAATTGGGATCTTGACAAGGAAAGATCTGCTAGCCCACAACATTCTGACAGTCTTTCCACACCTGGCACAATCTAAGGGCAGAGAAAAGAGGAATTGAAATTGAATGGCCAAGCAGCTCTCTTGGGACAAGTTGGTTCCTCAATTCCATAAGTCATTCCTCAATTTTGTATTACTTGGATCAAAAGCATGGAGATGAATAAGATACAAAAGTAACGTAAAACTATATTCAAATTTTAATATTCTTTCAACACAATTTATCCAATGAGGAAACATAATTCCCTTTTCCACCGGTACAAACAATATCCCCAAATGGCAATGGTAAATTTTTCCACTCTAGACTGCTACAAAACTTGTCCATTTCTTTTCTTCCATGCAGGATTACACACTGGTTCACAGGTGTACACAAAACCCCACATATTGAACCATGCCCTAGTTAATGTCTCGCAGCTCCTTGCAGGTGTTTTTTCTTTTTCTTTCCAGGTTTCTTTTTCGGAGGGCCCCTCTTGAATACTGCTAGAACTTCAATGCTGCAACCAATGGGCAAATGAAAAATTAATATTCTTTTACTTTAAGGGGAGAGTGGGGAATCGAGAGGATAATTGCTGCGTACAATCATATAACCAACTACACAATGTATCATTCATTTACTTCTATAGAGAAAAAAGGTTATAATAAAAATTTTACCTGAGGGGAATAAATCTCAAAGGGGATGGGTGGAACATATTTAAAGTAGATATCATATCATGGATTATATATACAGCGCATAATCACTCTCTAGGAATCATTCTGTAATTTTATATATGAACAGGGTAATGATAAATTTTCTCAAGTTGATTCCATGTTTAGAGTACAGACATAATAAGCACATCGCGCTTCTATCATGTAGCAAGTTATATTTAGGCTGCACAAGCACGCCTTCCATCACATCACATGTTCCAAAGGTCAAAAGTAATGAAAATGACATGTTTGACCGAACTAATATCATATACTAGAGTTATCTAACACAGAAGGAGACTGTAAAGGGGTGGGCAAGGATGCCGAGTACTGTAAGAACAAGCCGAGATCAAATATACATCTTTCATCTACAAAATGCAATTCTAAATTTCCTAGGTTTTACCATCATTTCCATTACTGATTTAGTACATATTTGGTTCAGTTTATTTTGGAGAAATAGTCACTTATTTCTTTCAACTTCCTAAAACAGATTTTGAAAATAAGCCATTATGTCTCTTGATTTAAGCCAAACTAAACAAGCTATTTGTGACCATGTTTCATAGATCTAACTTGAATACCTGGATATTTTCTCCCCATTCTGCAAACCATACACTTACTTAAAAGTTAAAAGCTCCAATTATCCATTCACACAAAAAAATGCAACTACATTATTCATGAGTTGTAAAACAGTCTGGGATCTTGCACTCAAGATAAGAGAGGATTAGCCATGAGAATATTGACATGATATGGTGTATACATACATGATCTTCGTAATCAAAAAGTATACTGAAACATTATAAATAGAGATGTGATACACATACAACAATTTACACAATGCCTTTTTTTGTGTCTCTCACCATCACATCATTAATTACATCTAATAGTTTTTTTTCTCTCTCCCTTAATTGTTAAAATTGTTGTGCAATTTGTTGTACAAGTAACATTTCTCTTATAAATACAAGTACTTAAAGTGGATAAAAACTATATCGAATGTATGTGCCAGGATAAATACAAAGCTGAAATGCAATTAGAATGTAATTCAGAGAATGATAAAATGGAAGATTTATCAACTCCATTAAGATTTTTTATGCAAGAACAAAAGAAATTATGAGAATTAGTAAATAGTACAAATAAATAAATAAATAAATAAATAAGAAAAAAAAAGAATAACATAAATACCTCTGGGTACCAGGAAAGAAATTAAAACCATGAGCTTTCTCCAAATGCCATGCCTTACAAGACAACAATGACTTGCAGTCCTGTCAGCAACTTATAAAATTAACATAAAGAGAACTCAAGTTTGAGAAAAGGTAACACACCCATAAAACATAAGATTGGAAATACCTCCTTAAAACTTTCCCATCCACAACTTATATAAATAAGGGTTTGTGGCACTGATTGAGCAATGTTAGCTGAAGGTGGTTTGCTTCCAATTTGGACTGAAGCTTCTTTAGCACGTAAAACCCATGGTCTTTTCTCTTCCTGGGCAGAGTTTGAGCTGCAGTTAAATTGCAATAAATCAGAAACTGGCTTCTGGAAGTATTTTCTGATGGACCAAACTCGATAGGTTCACAAAATTATAACCTTTCAGAAGATGAAAAGGCTTTACGCTCAACAGAAGATATATTCTTCAATGCATCAATGAGAGACACATCTAGTCCTTTCCTGGGAGGATCAATGACAACCACATCTGAGCCCATAAGCCACATAAAAGGCTCCTGTTACTTGCAAATGATTCATACAATCAGTTCCAAGTAACATGTGACAAGAATAAAAGATAGAAAACACTATGCTTCCGTTCATGGACGTAAAATATATGTTGTTAAATGAACATGCATACCAAAATTTAAGCTATAGTAATTATAATTATGTGAATCATGAAGAAAAAATATATTCAGAAGTTAAAACATGAAGTAAAAGATGATGCTTCAGATATTCAGTACTAACTTTTGAAGCATCTGCGTGATGCCAAGTAATACTGCTGTCAACGGTGGCAGGCAAACGTTCTATGGTCTTCTCAAAAGATGCCTTTGACTCTTTGTTAATCTCAATGCATTTAATGGATCTGTAAGACAACTAGCATAAATCCCCAAAATCAATTATGTACACAAAGTTGGAACATAACATTTTAGGGGTTCAGAATGATCCAGGTCTTGCCTGCACTTTCTTGTGGCAGCTAATGACAACCCAATGACCCCAGCTCCAGCATACAAATCAGCAACAGCTGATTCATGTGGAACATATTTCTGTAACTTCCGAAGCAAGGCATCAAAAGCCTGAAAGAATGAGGAAGACAGGAGGCATATCAAATTAGTTCGTTCATGCTTAATGGCACAGTGGTCCTCAATGATGCAACCAAACTGGATACACACAGATAACACAACACATGTTTTCATGCATCTCACTCCTCTATCCTACTAATGTGAATTTCCTTTTAGTTCACTTCTGATGATTATGAAGCACAAGCAGTAAAAACACAGCCTATTGTGTCCAAAAGATGCCTGAATTTGAAACACATAATACTCTCATTGACCCATAAAACTGATTCGGCAAGACCTTAATACAATGCTATTAAACAAAATTAGTTGACATTGGTAGGACACCTTCTAAATATGTTTCTAAACACATACTAAGCCCAAAATGTGACCTAGTGCACAAGGCTCCCACCAATTGGGTTTTGGGGAATATAGATGCACACAGTCTTACCCCTGCAATTAGAGAGGTTGCTTCCAATATTTGAACCCATGACCTACAGGTCACAAGGCAACAAACTTACTATTGCACCCAGGCTTTCCCTCTAAAACATGCTAAGCATATTTTAAAATTTAGATATATGACTTCATATACATTTTGATGTACCAATACTATATGTATGTACATATCAAGATTTATTTATTTACACAATATGTGTGTAGTAACTAATTCAAAAGATAGATTAAATACACTCTCTGATTGCCATGTTTCAAAAATTGACTAAAATAGAATCTTTACCCGTGTGTTTGCTTGGCCGAAACTAGAAGGTGCCAAGGACACGTCAATTCCACCAACATGTTCCCAAAAATCTCTTTCTCCAAGAAGATGTCTCCATTTATTCCCAAAAATTATCTGAGCATCAAGTAAGCAATTTAAAGGCATGAAATTTTTATTAAAACAATTATGAATGCCATCATGCATGATAAAGTAAGTAATCACAAGTTGTCAAGAAAAGTTAACAAGATTGGCATACAAGAAATCCTAGATAAAAATAGCTTATTTTATGTAAGAACTAAAATGGAAATAAGTTTCAGAATTTCCGCATCCAAAAGTTACCCCTCAAACATTCATTATCAATACCATTCCTGTCAACCTCCAGTTCACATGGTATCATTTTGCAAAGGCAATCTAAGTTACGAGGACAATGTGATAAACAATCACCAATAATATTTAAAACTTTATGCTCTCATGTGACCTTCTTAGCCACCATAAATGTTAGCAGTAAACTAAACTTGCATAATAGTACTTTGTTCCCCCAAGAAAATGAAGATATAACCATTATGAATCAACAATATCTGTGATTTAAATTTTCAGCAACAAATGATTTGTGCTCAAAACCAGTTCATTAACATGGACCCTCCTTTCTTCCCTACTGCAACTAGAACATCTACCTCCCCTGTATCACATACAGCATACGATTTCCATTTTAATTGCAAACCATTCATTTGTTAATTTTCTTTCATAAGAACAATTTCAACTCACATTGTTGGTAGAAGTCTGAAAGTTGGCCCACACAGAGTGAATTAAATGTAGCCTACTCCGTGGTCCACCATTTTTCCATAGAAACTGCAATCAATCATATGAATCATCACTTTCTATGATTAGAAGGGAAGGGGTATGAACATGAGAACTTATAACAGCAAAAAGAAAACAATTGTGATAGAAAGGAACTAAGGAAGCAACAATCTCACATCTGCTAATGCATTCAGTTTGTCTGAACCAGGTGAATTTTCATTTCTTGAATTCCAAACCAATGTAACCTGAACCTTTCCTAAAACCATATAATTCAAATGAAACAATTGTTATTTCAAAGCCATTAACAACAAGAATATATATAAAAAAAATCCATATAATTCATGACAGTAAGATCTAACTATGAGGTAACCATTCTTATATCTTTCAGCCGCAGGAAGAGATGTGTTGTATGTTGTCACAGCCATCTATAAAACCCGCCAACCAGAATAGTAGTTAATTTTCCCAAATTCAAAATTTCAATTGTTAACTGAATTCAACAACTACCCTATCCGATTTGTTATAAACAATTCACCTGGACATATCGCAAATTGCCAGTACCTTCATCTTCAATATATGGCTCAACACCTAATTCAGAAATACCTGGATGGCAATGAAAGATAATTAAATAAATAAATTGAAGAATAAAATAAAACAAAATGAACATGGAGATAATAAAAAAACAGGGAAAAACCTCGTCTAAGCAGCTCCACAGCAGCATTAATATTAGGATGATGAGCTGGGCACAGAAGACATTACACACGCTTAATCAATATAATCCGGCATCAACCAAGGAGAGCATTTAAAAATGTAATAAAAAGATAAAAACAGAGTTACACATACTCACACAACCAAAGAAGAAGAAAAATGTAGAAAGGGAAAAGTATTCTACGTTCGTTAGTTCCAACTTCCAACCCTTTTACCATGTGTTTGGATAAACATTTACAAAATTGATTTTAAATAAACTTGATTTTGATTAAAAATTGATTTTGAAGAAATGAATGAGGTTTCATTATATAAGTATTTATTATAAAAAAACAAGTTAGAAGTAAAACTGTAAAACTCAACATAAAAATTCTGATCCATAGCAAAAGCTAATTTTGGATTTAGAATGTTGAACCAAACATGGAAACATTTAGCCACTAGTACATTAGCTGCTATTTTACCATGATTTTGGATAATTTAAAGTGAATTTAAAAATGTCAACTAAAATGTAAATTTTTTTTTAGTATATGAACATAATCCACACAATGTCCCAAAACTAACAACCAAGGGCAGGTAGAATGTTATTTCAGTTAACTAAACATTATTTTAACATTGATAGAATTGAACATGGAAACCCCAGGTCAACCCCATGTCCCAAGCAGGTCTTACAACCATTGGATCAAAAGATTTCGCTATAACATTTGTTTTAAACTCATGTCATGTTCTATTCTAATTATTTTTTTGAAGGAACTCAGAATATTATTATATTATACATAAACAAACGTACCTTTGCATTGTGGAATGTCAACTACGTTATGAGTACCCTCCTCATAGAGCCCAATTAGAGGGTCCGTTGAAGAGCCACGCACGGCCAATTTCGCACGGCACCTCCAACCCCACTACAAAAAAAAAAAAAAAAAAAAAAAATTCAAATTAAAGTAAATTCAAATGAATAATTAAAAAAAAAAACTGAAAAAGGCCTCGTGAGTTGTGAGGAGAACCAGTTTGCACGTGTCAAATGTGAAGTCGGAGACGCCGTGTTTCCGAAAAAAATCGGTGGCGTCGTCCAATATAACCGGACGGTGGAGGCTGAACTCGTGCGTGCACCCCGAACACCTGAAACCAATATAAATAAATAAATAAATACAGAAAAAAAAAATATATATATAAGTGAAATTAAGTAACGAAGAGAGTGTGAGGCGCACGATTGGAAGTGCGGGCAGTGAAGAGCACACGTTAGCGGCGGCGACTGTGGAATTGAAGAAGCAGGCGTCGGCGCCGGCGAAGGGAGGGCGGTGGAGGCGGCGGCGCGGCATGTGAAGATAGAGAACGACGGCGGAGCTGACACGAGACGGAGGGTCATTTTCCGGTTTGGGGGAACAACGCGGGAATGGATAATAACAAATTCTCTTTACATTTCCGAAAATATCTGCAGCAGATTCATCAAAACAAAAGTGGGCCTTACCACTCTAAATGGGCTTGAAAGTTGAAACGCAGGCCCAAAATAGTCCTCATTAGTCATTACCCCCTGCGCACCATCACAGTTTCTGATTCCGAGTGCAACTAACTCGTCGTCGCCATGAGAATCTACGAGGAGTTGAAAGAGATAGTGAAGATTCAGAAGTTCCGAAGATTGGTGTCGTACACTGGTTTCTACTGCTTCGCTACGCTTGTAAGCTACTTTTATGTCAACAATACGACTAGGGCTGGTTACTCCAGAGCCGATCAATTCTACGCGTCGTATCCCGCTAGTACCGAGCTTTTAACGGACTCTTCCAAGGTTTTTGCGATGATATAATTTGGGAATTAGGGCATTTTTTTTTTCATCTTATTTTGATGTAATGTTTGATTTTGTTGTTTGAAATTTGTTGTCAGTTATACAAAGCTGCTCTTGGAAACTGCTTCGAAGCTGAAGAGTGGGGTCCTTTTGAGTTCTGCATCATGGCAAAACACTTCGAGCGTCAAGGGAAGTCGCCATATGCATATCATGCGGTATGTACATACATGCATACATTTGAATGTGATGCTAAAGGACGTGTTGTGAATTTCTTTAACTGTTGTGTTAGTGCTGTTGGGTAGGATTTTATTCCCCTTTTGTGAGTGGTGAAGAGTGGAATGATTTGTGAGGGACAGCTTGTGGTTTTCTCTGGAATGACAGGGGTTTGTGATGGGAAATTGTCTGAAAAATTGGGTAAAAAACTGGCTTTTTAAATGGTAATTTCAAGATTTGAGAAGATTAGGAGTGCTTTTGTTGTGTTTGATGTATTTCCAAACTTTTCTTGCGAGTGTTCAAGGAAGATCTTGCATTTTTTACCATGCATAGGTTAGGGCAAATGTGGTTTCCGGAAGTGGAGGATGATATTCATGATGTCCTTGTATTTCTCATATCACCTGAAACTATTTAAAACTGTAATATGATTTCCAGGTTTAGGAGTTTTCTGTATGTTTATGTTGTGTTTTTTGTTGGAGATCTTAGAATTTAGGATTGAACCCAATTCAATCACAAAAGTTAGCTCATGAAATGAGGGTTATTCCTCCACGTCTACTTTTACACTGTTTTTGTCATGTCATTAGTTAAGTTGATTTTTTTTTTTTTTTTTTTTTTTTTTTTTTTAACTT